GTGTCTCCCTCTCTCTCTGCCCCTCCCCCGTTCATGCTCTGTCTCTCTCTGTCTCAAAAATAAATAAAACGTTAAAAAAAATTAAAAAAAAGAAAAATATTTAAAAAAATAATTAAAAATGGGGGCGCCTGGGTGGAGCAGTCGGTTAGGCGTCCAACTTCAGCCAGGTCACGATCTCGAGGTCCGTGAGTTCGAGCCCCGCGTCAGGCTCTGGGCTGATGGCTCAGAGCCTGGAGCCTGTTTCCGATTCTGTGTCTCCCTCTCTCTCTGCCCCTCCCCCGTTCATGCTCTGTCTCTGTCCCAAAAATAAATAAACGTTGAAAAAAAAAATTAAAAAAAAAATAATTAAAAATAGTAGGGTTACATGTGTCAGTTTAGAGAATTAAAAAATTGTCGAGTGGCTTTTCCTTAAATTTCTGCTATAGACATGTGTATAACAATATTCTCTTCTGCTTAGCACTAAATTACTATACAATCAAAAAATGATCTCTAAATTGCTGGGCTTTTATGTTTTATATAAGATGAAATCATAAGAATTACAAAATATATCCTTTAAGTTAGAATTTATAGATCTTTAACTTATATCCTTATGTAAAAAGTGGAAGAAATTAATAAAAATGGACAAATAATGTCAGCACCATAATCTATAGGGAATCTAAAGAATACATGGGCCCTGCTTTCAATGATCTTACAATCTTAGACTACAAAATAAGATAATTTACTAAATTTTAGAATAAAAAACATTTTATCAGTTTTAACATGTTTTATTAGATGCAACACATAAGAATATTTTGATGTTGCAAAATAAATTGGTTTAAGAACTTCTACCATAGAGGATGGTTTCCATGATGGATTAATTAATCATCTAGATTAAGCAAGGAAACAGAATTTTTGTTCTTGCTGTTGTTGTTGTTGCTCTCAGGGGATGGTCCATGTGGAGATCTATTTATTTATTTATTTATTTATTTATTTATTTATTTATTTATTTATTTTTTACTTTTTAAAATTATTTATTTTTTAATTTATATCCAAGTTAGTTGGCATGTAGTGCTATAATGATTCTAGGAGTTGATTCCAGTGTTTCATCCTGTAAGTATAACACCCAGTCTTCATCCCAACGAGTGTCCTCCCTAATGCCCCTTACCCTTTTAGCCCATCCCCCACCCACAACCCCTCCAGCAACCCTCAGTTTGTTTTCTGTATTTAAGAGTCTCTTATGTTTTGCTCCCCTCTCTGTTTTTATATTATTTTTACTTCCCTTCCCTTATGTTCATCTGTTTTGTATCTTAAATTCCTCCTATGAGTGAAGTCATATGATATTCGTCTAAGAAAGAGAATTTATGAAAAGATCATAGATGGGGCTAGTTTAGGGACTTGGTTCAAAGGCTCAATTGATGTCAGAAGGGTCTAACTGAGTATACTTTGCTTTCTCTGGGTTGGTTTCATTTCAGGCTTTTCATGGTGGTCTCTGGCATCTTTAGTCATGTCAGCACAACACCAAATCCAAGTTAGTCTCCATCCCAGATTTAGGGAATTCCAGACCAGCTCCTGCCCACCCACCCCACCAGCTCTGCAGGAAGCCACAGAGTGACCTATCAGGAAAGGGGGGAAGGCCAGGCTTTGAGTCCTGTCTGGGATGCTGGTCAGGCTATGTGCATTGTTAAATCCATAACTTTTATTGTTTAGACATAATGGCATATCAGCCTCCCTTTGAGTTCTTACTCTGAGTCCTTCAAATGTTAGGGGCAGGCCAGGTATAGGCAATGTCAGAAATTTTGTTCTTCAACCTGAGAGCAGGAGGAAGTCATTTGAAGGAATTTAGGCAGGAAAGGAACAAGATAGGATTTAGATTTTTTTAAATGGCATTGCCGTGCTATAAGCAGCATAGAATCAACTGCACATATTTAATGTATACACCTGATCCATTTGACATGCCAATGAAATCACAATTAAAAAAAAACAAAGAAAATGAAAAAAACTTACAAATGACTTTTACTTGGAATATACAGGACTCTACAATTCAGTAACTACAAGACAAACAACCCAATTAAAAATGGGACAAAAGACCCCCCAAAACCAAGAGCACACTGTACACACTATAGGTTACTGATTTGAAAATAAATTACATTAAAAAAAATAATAAAATGATTAAGAAAAAAAATGGGACAAAAGATTTGAACAGTCACTGCACAAAAGAAGATATACAAATAGCAGAGAAGCTCAGGAAAAGGGTCTTAACATCATTTGTCACTAGGAAGATGCAGATTTATATTTTAAAATGTCACTCAGGCTCCAGTAGGGAAAGAACTGGAGATCAGGTTGGCAGGAAGAACAGTTAAGAGGTTGTTGCTATAGGACTAGTAAAAGACAGCAGCTACTTGAATTAAGATGGTAGTTGTAGAGACAGGGAGTGGATGACAATTGGACAAATATTCAGGGAGCAAAATAGATAGGCCTTGACACTGGTTTTGATTTTAGAGAATCAAGTGTTAGAAATGATTCCAGATTTTCTGGCTTGTGCAGTAGGGTGGCCAGTGGTGCCATTCACAAACGTGGTGAAAACTAGAGAAAGACCAGGTATGGGTAAAGATTAAATATATGTTAAATGAGCACTTTTGAGGTATTTCTGAGACCTCAAAGTAGACTCTGGGAGCTGGCAGTGGAGCAAAATGTGTCCTAAGCCTTGTCTCTTGTGTTTGGTGTGGGCAGAAGCTCAGTGGCAGTGGGCTGAGGTTTAAATGCAGGGAGAAAGAGAAGAGCAGGGATTGCTAAATCAGATTCCCCTGTTCCGTCCCCATGAAAGGGAGGGAGACTGTCATAGGTGGTCTACACTAAGGAAAGCAGGAAGAACTTCTGGAGGAAGGGGAGTTTCGGAGACCTTCTTTAAATACTCAGAACTCTTGAGGTATTTTGCTATTTGGGGGGTACCCTGAATTGGAACAAGTAAGCTAAAGATCGTCTGATTTCTATGGTTCCTCCAATTCCTATCCTACTCCCATTGCTGATCCCCAATTTATACACAGATTGTATAGTGGATGTGGCCTCAGGAAATCAAAAGGTCCTACAGTGCGGGTCATTCCAAATCTTACTAAATGACCTTATGTTCCGTTTTTCCTCATGGATTCTATAATCTGTTGAAGAAGGGGAAAAGAGCATTCTTTTCTTTATTTTTATACCTCATTAGTGAATCCTAACCATACTCTGCCTTAGACCCCTTTTCCATCTCAGTCTGGTTCTCAGATTCTTAGAAAGGACAATGGATCTTTAAATTAACTCAGTTTGTGCTGGGAAGAGGCCAAAATTAGTTAGTGTCCCATTGATACTCAGTTGGAGTAGCCTTCTAGTTGTACAATCTAGGGAAGGCATTCACACCTCCTCCTCCTCTTCTTTTCCTAGTTTGGAACATTCTGGCTTGTGTTTTGCTCTCCCTGTAAATATGAGAGAAAATAAAAGACACTATTCAGCCTCCTTTGTCTGAAAAGTCTGGCAGTTCAGTGGTTTTCTTTAAAGGGGGCCCTCATTTGTAACCAGCTTTGCCATTAACGGAAATCAATCTGAATGTCCTTTTGTGCATCTTTTTTCTTTCCTCACAGTCTGAACTTGTCTTTGCCAAGTTTTCGAGCTGAACTTGAAAGACCCTCTCTCATTTTCCCCGTTCCCTGCCTCCAGCCCCATTGACTCCTAGCACAGCTTTCTCAGGGAGAAGGGCTGCAGAGTGTGGATAAGGAGGAACTCGACCTACTCCGCTAACCCAGTGGCCTGAGCCAATCACAAAGAGGATTGGAACCTCATTTGAGCCCCCCTTCCCACCCCGTTCCCCTGGCAACAGCCTCCAGTAAAGGGGGACAGTGGAAGGGTGTGTTTGCAATTCAAATCCTTGGCTTTCTGCCTGCATCTTTTCCAAATAAGAAGGCAGGAGCTGCTGTGAGGTGCAAAGGGGTCTTCAGAATTGCAGTGGCAATAAGATCCAGAGATCCTCCCTCCTGTCTCTTTTATCTGTCTTCAAAGCAAAAGGAAAGGGCAAGGATGGTGGAGGCTTTCTGTGCTACCTGGAAGCTGACGGACAGCCAGCACTTTGATGAGTACATGAAGGCGCTAGGTAGGTAAAAATAAGATGTGCTGTTCTCTTCTTAACCTGAAGCTTCAGTAGTGCCAATTCCTTTTTTTCTCCTATTAGATTGCCAAGCGACAAAGAAAGATCATGTTGTCATAACTGAATCCTAGGCTATGCATTTCCCACTGAAGGGATTTTTAATGTGGCGTTTGCCTGCTTTCTTGCCCAGGGCTAAATAACAGTACATTTGGTAGTCTGGGGGAGGATGTGAAGCTTCTGTGCCTTTTTGTTTTCAGCATCCCCTTATCATTTGTGCATCCAATTAAGCATCCGCGTATTATAGCTCATCAGTAGTCATACTGCATAATTAACGGACTAAACGTGTCCTGATGAAACTTACACTCGAGGGCCTGGATTCCAGGATAGGAAAGCAGATTCCTGCTATGTGAGTTATTTTGGAAGTCGCTGCTAACTGCATTGCTTTTTTAGGTGTGGGCTTTGCCACTAGGCAGGTGGGAAATGTGACTAAACCAACAGTGATCGTCAGTCAGGAGGGGGACAAAGTGGTCATCAGGACACAAAGCACATTCAAAAACACAGAGATTAGTTTCCATCTGGGAGAAGAGTTTGATGAAACCACTGCAGATGACAGAAACTGTAAGGTAAGGACCGCTCCTTCTCTGGGGTGGGGATGGGGAGGAGGGAATAAAAAGAGATCCCTGATGTTTCTCGTGTCTAGATGATGGGAGTAGAGAAAGTTCTCAGTATTTCAGTTCAGAGAGGACACCACCAGGATTAATTTTGCATTCTAGTGCACATATGTGGGTACTGGCTATAGCTCAAATCTCAAATCTATCTGTCTCTTATTCTACATTTTTCTTTTCATATTTGTATTTCAGAAAGTAAGAGTGTTCATTTAAAATAAAGATTGTATTTTGTTTAATGTCGCTGATTGCCTCAGATTAACGAAACTGTTTGCCTCATCTGAAGGCTTTGTTTACAAGAGTAGAGTGACTAGTCTGAGAGTACTTGTTCAGGATTTTTATTTCTAACATATGAAATTTTTGCATCTAGATGTACACACTTCAATGAAATTATGAATTATTAGTTTACTATCATAATGACTCTAGAAGCCACAGAGGATATGGTACTAATATGATAATTAGTTGATCACCATTCATTCAATTCTATAATTCCTTCAAAAACCACTTCACTTGACTTTCATCTCAGAAATTTAACCTGTACCTTTTGCTATGTTCTGCATTTTGTTGTTGGTCTCAGTCTGTTGTTAGCCTGGATGGAGACAAACTTGTTCATGTACAGAAATGGGATGGCAAAGAAACAAATTTCGTAAGAGAAATTAAGGATGGCAAAATGGTTATGGTAAGTAAAGGCAGTTCTCCCTTTGTTTCTTCTTGCTTTTCACTCCTCTCCTAGTTCCCATCCCCTTCTATCTCTCCCACCCTTCTTTAATAACAGTAAGTCTTCAGCAAGCTTCTTTGATCATGTGTAAAACAGAAGACATAAAAATGTCCTGGTGAATTGTATCATCAGCTCTGCTTCTTTAATTATAGAAAAAAAAAGAAAAATTCTATGCAAGCGTGGTTTTCAGAAGTTTCCATCGATTTAGCTAAAACTGTCAAAGAAAGAATTTGTGTAGTATTACTGTGAATGTCTAAATCTCAAATGAAATCTAAATATAAAAATATTCATGAAAACATATGAATAAGACTGATAAATTACTATGAGTATCAAGTTGACTGAATATCCAAAAAATTACTTTACAGCTACTGTAATAAATAAGAGATCTTGACACTTTTTATATTTTAGTTTATGCAGGTTCCATAAGCTCAGTGCAGATAATTTAGAATATAACAGAAAAGTGTAGTTCCTCCTTAGAGGGAACCATTTTGATGTTACTTCCTTCTAGTCTTTCTTTTGATGCATCGTGCCTTGTAAATATTTCCATTCAATACCAGTAGTCATGTAAAAACTATAAAAATATAAAATTAAAAAAAATCTCTAATGATGTAGTAGCATCATAAACTGGGGAAAATGTTATGCATTAATCTAACATTCTAGACACATTTTTGTGAACTGAGTAATGGTATTTTGATGACATTGAAATAGTCAATATATCATTTTGGGGTTTTTTGAGGGTGGGTGGGTATTGCTTTACCTATTCCTTCTAAGATAATAGAAGAAAGGGCTTTTTGTTTTTGTGATTTAAGGAAATTGACTGCTGTTTTTTCTCTTCCCTTTAACTGTTGCAATCAGGGCTGTTCTAGATTGAGACACAGGGCTTACATTATTCATACTTCTTTCCATGGGATGGGAAGAGAGGGGCAGTGTTCCTCTTATGGTAATGAATATTTGCCCACATATTTCTGCAGTGATCATCAAAAGAAAGGATTTGTTTATAAAAGATTCAGTCCGAGCTTCTCCTTTATGCTTTTATCTCCATTTCCCACCCCCCCACCCCGAAGACAGAAAAGTGGATAGCTTATAACTGACTGATCAGGCAAGACTGAGTTCAAAAAAAGGAGATTAAAGCTATGAATGACAAGGGCATGCTATGCTCTTGAAAATCATGTCAATCCATGTAAATAGCAAACCCTAAAAAAACTCCTAGATTTTGTAAAGAGATTTTATAGAAATTCTTTCAGTCCAATTTGACGTAAGAGTCCATGTTCCACGTTACACCCACCCAGGCACGTAGGTTCACATCAGCTGAAATATGACAACCAAAGCAATGAGAACATTTGTACATTTACTTTTCCTGATGACTTTGACACAAGTCATTCCAAATACCATTTCCCCAAATGACTTGGATTTTCTAAAAATTCTTCACAATTTATGTGATGAAAACCTATTATAAATTCCATTCACTTTCAAAGCAGACAGCTAATTTGATTACCCTGATAATTTAAGGGAAAAGGAATTCTTTTGACCTGAATCTACTTAGTTAATGTCAGTTTTTTTGCTTCATTTTCCTTTTAGAGACATAAACTATATATACATGTTATTATTCACTCAGTAAATAAAGTTTCTTTTCTTTTTATTTTAAGAAAGGAAGAGCTTATGCAGCATTTAATGTTTGTCAATGACATTATTCTTTTGCATAATATGTAAATTATATATGATCATCTTTAGAAAGTTCAGCTACTGATATTCTTGTATAAAAAGACTTGATTCTTTTTGCATCTTTCAGACTCTCACTTTTGGTGATGTGGTTGCTGTTCGCCACTATGAGAAGGCATAGAAAGGTTCCTGATCTGGGGTTCGAAAAGCTCTACAATTTTTCTATTTACTCAAGTCTCAGTGTTATGGGACTGATCACGAATTAAAAGGTTATCTTTGTTGTGGAGGTGGAAAATGGTGCTTTAAAAACTTGTTTTAAAACTTTTTACTGCAAATAGCCCAATTTTGATCTGCAGATTTATCATGTTTTATAATTCACATTAAGATGTTAAGTCACATTTTTAAAATAAAGAAGTAAATGCATTTTATAATTTCCATTGAAAAGTAAATCAGATTCAAATAAAAATTGTATACCCATGAGAAATTTTGTTGTTGTTTTTAATGTCACTAATCTGGTGGTTTTAATATTAGATATTAGATATTAAATATTTAATATTAGATATTAATCTGATTAATATCACTAATCAGGAGGTTTTAGACAAAATAGCCTTTCTTACTGTATAAAATAAAGCTGGAAAAGTGCTAACTTTTTAAAAATATTACTAACAAAGTGCTAACTTTGTTTAAAATATTAATTAAAAAGAAATCAGCAGAAGCCTGGGGAAAAGTGGAAATGCCACAGTTTTGGTTGAGACTTCCATAGAGAACCTGTGGCAATCAGAAACAGGCAGGCTGATGAAGCAAAATGATATACACAAAAATGTCTTATTAAAAAATAGTCAAAATATCACACAATCAAAATGTCATATATTCAAGTTTCTTATTGAAAAGTAAACAGGAAAATAAAATGAATTTTACCCTGGATTATAAAGGTGTGTTTCCAGACAAATACTTTGAGCTGAACTAAGTCAACAAAAGTGCTAAAATGGAGTGCATAGAATGTGCATTAAGGCTTCCAAATTCCCTTTAAAAAATTTTTTGTTTTTAGTAGAGAAAACTAACTTTATTTTTCTAACTTGTTTTATTTTTTACTTTTTTAAATTTACATCCAAATTAGTTAGCATATAGGGCAACAATGATTTCAGGAGTAGACTCCTTAGTGCGCCTTACCCATTTAGCCCATCCCCCCTCCCACAACCCCTCCAGCAACCCTCAGTTTGTTCTCTATATTTATGAGTCTCTTCTGTTTTGTCTCTCTCCCTGTTTTCATATTATTTTTGTTTCCCTTCCCTTATGTTCATCTGTTTTATCTCTTAAAGTCCTCATATGAGTGAAGTCATATAATTTTTGTCTTTCTCTGACTAATTTCACTTAGCATAATACCCTCCAGTTCCATCCACATAGTTGTAAATGGCAAGATTTCATTCTTTTTGACTGCCGAGTAATACTCCATTGTATATACATACCACACCTTCTTTATCCATTCATCCATCGGTGGACATTTGGGCTCTTTCCATACTTTGGCTATTGTTGATAGTGCTGCTATAAACGTGAGTGTGCATGTATCTCTTCGAAACAGCACACCTGTATCCCTTGGATAAATGCCTAGTAGTGCAATTGCTGGGTTGTAGGGTAGTTCCATTTTTAGTTTTTTGAGGAACCTCCATACTTTGCTTCCAGAGTGGCTGCAACAGCTTGCATTCCCACCAACGATGCAAAACAGATCCTCTTTCTCTGCATCCTTGCCAACATCTGTTGTTGCCTGAGTTGTTACTGTTAGCCATTCTGACAGGTGTAAGGTGGTATCTCATGGTGGTTTTGATTTGTATTTCCCTGATGATGAGTGATGTTGAGCATTTTATCATCATCAGTTGGCCATCTGGATGCTAATTTTTGTTTTAATATTTATTTATTTTTGAGACAGAGAGAGAGAGAGAGAGAGAGACAGAGTGTGAATGGGAAGGGGCAGAGAGAGAGGGAGACAGAATCCGAAGCAGGATCCAGGCTCTAAATCAGCACAGAGCCCTACGTGGGGCCTGTGGGGCTCAAACTCACAAGCTGTGAGATCATGTCCTGAGCCAAAGTCAGCTGCCCAACTGACTGAGCCACCCAGGTGCCCCCGAATTCCCTTTTTTGGGTGTGTGTGTGTGTGTGTGTGTGTGTGTGTGTGTGCTGCAGTTGTTGAAACTGAGTTACCCAAGGGAAAGTAAATACCTATTTGTAACTGGCTAGGGTTTGCCTTTGTAAGTAGAAACAAACAAATGTTATTTTATATTTCATCATTTATTAAATGCATTTTATCCATTTTCCCAAACCAACAATGTGAAGCAGGGAAGGCAGATACTGTTATTTTTACTTTACTGATGAGGAAATTGAACATCAGATTTACCTGTCCATGTAAGTGAATATTTACCTGTCTCATGATTAGTGAATAATACTGAGAACTGCAAACCTTGTGATTTTCCCTTTCATTTATTGTCAAAAAAGCACAAGATTTTAGTTTCCCTGATCACTACTTAGGAAATCGTTCCTCTGTTAGCCTCTGCGAGGCAAATAGGGTAAACATCTTCTCAGGAAAAAATAGGTAGTATTCATTTTTTTAACGTTTATTTATTTTTGAGACAGAGAGAGACAGAGCATGAACGGGGGAGGTTCAGAGAGAGAGGGAGACACAGAATCTGAAACAGGCTCCAGGCTCCGAGCTGTCAGCACCGAGCCTGACACAGGGCTCGAATCCACAGACCGCGAGATCATGACCTGAGCTGAAGTCGGACGCTTAACCACTGAGCTGCCCAGGCGCCCCGGTAGTATTCATTTTTAATCAACCAGGTGATTTCAGTTAATTTCTATAATTCAAGGCCCAATTAACTTACAGATATAAGCATGAGGGAACTTACTTTAACTTACAAAATGCACCATAATGAAACTATTATCTGACTATTGGATTTAGGATTACTTTATTACTATAATGAAGAGTAGAGGAAACTACAGTGCAGCTACAGGATTTAACATTTGAATACAATTAGTACTGAATGCCTGGATAAGGTTGGCTGAGATGACCATTCCTAAAACTAGACAGTCTACCTTTGTCTTTAAAAGCATGAAACAGAACACTGAGAGTGTTTGCTCCCAATTGTTCAGGCAGACTTCATCTTTGCTTCTGTTGGAAGAATGCTTTCTCTTGATGATTCCAGCCTCTGCTCCAGTAGAAGCAAGGGTTCTGGCCTCTCTGCTCTTAAGAATACAAGGCCATGGATGGGGATTCAGCTTCAGTTGACTATTATTAGGCCAAATAACATCCTGCTGGCATTTATTTCCATAACAACTGCCCTCCAAGTGAAGACTGGGAAGGGTTTTGGGTGGCCTAAATGAGAAACAATTACAATTACAATGACAATCACAAAGATCAAAGGTTGCAGTGGTGTACCAAATATATTTTTCTGGGAAGATAATTAACAAATATTTTTTGCTTCCTAAATCTTTACAAGGTAGTTGCAAATCATTTTCTTCGAGCAGTATTCTAGCTCATATACTGACCTACCAATAGTACTAACTTTTCTGGTTTGTCCTTTTTGTTTTTGTTTTTAACATAGTTAATAGAAAAGGGAAAATTCCCAAGCCCAAAGGCAATTTGACCAACAGGCCCTGGAGAAATGTTTGTGAAATCCCAAGGTCTTAAAGTTGCAAACTTGACTAAAAGTGGTCTTGTGAAATCCACACTTGCACCCCTGATGATGAGTAAGGAGCAGTTTCCATCCTGTCATATGTGTTCTCTCACCCAGATACACACCCTCACAACAAATGACTCCTCCATCTGGACCATGAGGACCTATAAATTCATGTCCAAGGTTAAGATGAAAACCCAGAGATGTTGAGGCACTATAGTTTTGCACTAGAGAAAGGAGGTATAAAGGAAAACAAAGCAGAGGGAGTAGAAGGGAGAATGATGTTCCTATCCATTGTCTTTTAAGGAATTCAAGCATTTTTTAGGTTTCAAAAGGTGCTGGAGGTAGTTTATGCTTACTTACCTGAAGGACTGTTTCACAATCAATTCACTTCCAGTAAAGCTTATTGGAAATTGGGGGAGAAGAGCTAAAATTGCTATTTTTACACTTAAAAAAATCATTTTCCTAGTATTCAAAATGTTTGGGTTAGAAACACACAAGTTATTTTGTTGTCCTTAAAGTTATTCTCCCTCATCCGTCATTTTTCCCCCTGCCCGTTTTCCTCCATACTTTTGAAGTTGTGGACTGAGAAATTCCAAACACCATTCTGTCCACCATTGGAAAACATTTTGGTTCTAGAAAGGCTTTTCAATTATCCTAAAACCGAGGCGGGACTTAACCACTCTGGCAGTACATGAAACAAAATGGAGGCACCTTGATTACTATTTCAAAGCCTCTTTCATGTGGCACTTTCCCATTAAATTACACGGGATACAATATAAGGTTTCCTCTGATGGGAAACAAATACATTTTATGACCTCTTTTATGAAGTTAGTCATCCTGCAGGATATTTTTTTCTCCCAAGGAATTCCACATCTTTATCTTAAAGAGACCATAACCCTCATAAATGGTTAGAGAAGAAACACAGAACCTGAAACAATTTGGGGATCTCGGCCCCATTGTCAGACTAAGTATCTTTAAAAATTCTTTAGGAGAGTAAAAGCAACTGGCTCTACTTATGCTTGTTATGAGTCTCTGGACTGCATAAATCACAGTTCTGAGACGTTCTAACTCAGGTGTAAACAAACAAACAAACCCCCTAAACAAACTAAAAACTAAGACCCTGTGTCTTTTTTAAAAATTTTTTTAAATGTTTTTTTTATTTTTGAGAGAGAGGGAGAGAGGGGCAGAGTGTGAGCAGGGGAGGGGCAGAGAGAGAGGGAGCCACAGAATCCACAACAGGCTCCAGGCTCTGAGCTGTCAGCACAGAGCCCTCTGCCAGTTCAAACCCACCAACCCTGAGATCATGACCTGAGTGGAAGTCAGACACTCAACCGACTGAGCCACCCAAAAGCCCCTAAAATCCTGTGTCTTTGAGCAGTGGTTCTCAAACATCACCATCACTTTAGCATCACCTGGAGGGCTATTAAAAACACAAATTACTGGACCATTTTTACGCTCCTTCCTGAGTTTTTGATATAATTGGTCTGGGATAGGACCTAAAAATTTTCATTTC